TTTTTGCGTAAATAATGTAAATTCTGTATAAACACAGTAATTAAATACAATTATGGAGCTCCCGGTAAGCTATTATACAGACTTAAAATTGCATATCTTGCAATGTGACTGGTGTGCATGTGCAAATGGCAATATTGAGGCTGAACCAATATATTGTGCAGCCCTAACTACAAGCATCGAAGGACCTTGCATGTCATAAAATGATGCCAAAGAGCTACCTGGAGCATCACAAATGGAAGTGAAGGAGTCCTGAGTGAGTGTCAATATGTGACGAGTCAGTAGTCAGAATATGTTGAACCACTTGGCAATTGATGCTGTTGAAAAATATTATTAACCTTGTTTTTTTAAGATGCCAGAAAGCTTTTTTCAGTGAATTTGCAAGACTTCTGATTTATGAGCCATTGTAAATAATTAACGAGAATAACAAAGTGCAGTAGTTGGTACAAATCAGTATATTTTAAAACTGTGAAAATTCTGGGATTTACACAAGTCCTTCATGTTGTCCCAATACAACACAAACCGATAAAGTTGACTTGATTGTTTTTACAAATTGTAATGGATTGAACATAAAACAATTAAGTTGTCCTGACTAAAACCCAAATTGTGTTGATTAGTAGAGAAGTAGTTTGTACAAACAATAAAGAATGAAGAAATTGTGTGTAATTAGGACAGTTTGTTACAATAATTAGGTAAGAAATATCAGTTATTGTAGTAAGCAAAAACTACTTCTAAAATTATAGGTAAATTTTTTTGCACCAATTGAAATAAAATAGTTATAAATAAAAATCAAAAACTAAACGTAACTGCTGTCACTGAAAATCTGAAACACTTCATGCTGGTGCGGTGTCTTGGATGATCTGGACGGCTTGAGCAAACTTCTCTGACCACATTTCTAGAACTGCTCGATCGTGCAGATTCGCACTCTATAACATCAGAAAGATCCGACCCTTCTTATCTGAACATGCAGCTCAACTTCTTGTTCAAGCTCTTGTTCTCTCCAAACTGGATTACTGCAACTCTCTACTAGCTGGGCTTCCAGCTAACTCTATCAAGCCTCTTCAACTGCTCCAGAATGCAGCAGCACGAGTGGTCTTCAATGAACCTAAACGAGCACATGTCACTCCGCTGCTAGTCCGTTTGCACTGGCTGCCAGTTGCTGCTCGCATCAAATTCAAAGCTCTGATGTTTGCCTACAAAGTGACCTCTGGCCTTGCTCCTTCTTATCTGCTCTCACTTCTGCAGATCTATGTGCCCTCCAGAAACTTGCGTTCTGTGAATGAACGTCGCCTCGTGGTTCCATCCCAAAGAGGGAAGAAATCACTTTCGCGAACGCTCACGCTCAATCTGCCCAGTTGGTGGAATGAACTCCCTAACTGCATCAGAACGGCAGAGTCACTCACTACGTTCAAGAAACGACTAAAAACTCAACTATTTAGTCTCCACTACACTTCCTAATCTGCAATTGCCTCTTTGAATATCACACTAACTGTACAAAAAAAAAAAAAAAAAAAACTAATACTACTAATACTTCCCTTCTTAGACTTTACAGACCTGAAACTTGCCTATATCACTTATTCATTGTTGCTCTTAGTTGTGTAAATTGCTTCCTTCTCCTCATTTGTAAGTCGCTTTGGATAAAAGCGTCTGCTAAATGATTAAATGTAAATTTAAATGTAAATGAATAAATGAACAATAAATTAGACTAAAAAAGACCACTTTGGAGGTACTATTTTCATGTTTACGTTATAGATGGAGATGTGAAAGTTCTGTAAGTCAGCTTAACGGCAGAGCTTGTTTGCACCTACAGTGAATGGTAACCGCTATTCCAAAAAACCCATAGTAAATTCATGAGGGAACCTGCGGCGAATTAGCCTTCGGGCTGCCCTGCAAATTACCATCATGACTGAACAGCTCTATAGAGAGAGCGAGAGAAATGCTGGACTGCAGGGATTTTTAAAAAAGGGGTAAAAATGAGACAAAGAAAGACAAAGACTAATGATACAGAGAGAGATGAATGTAAAGGGCATGGGCGACCGGGACAGGATGATTGCAGACTAAAGGAAAGAGATATTACAGAGCTACAAAACTTTTCAGCCAGACAGGAGCAGCTGAGGGAGTGCTGAAGTCAGCAGCACAGCGGAATGGTGGGTAATGGGAGGAGGGGAGATTTTAAATGGGATATAAAGGTACAGTTTTGTCACACATATGTTGGGTTTTCATGTTTTAGGGGGACTTCCCATAGACGTAATGATGTTTACACTGTACAGACTGTATATTATGTCTTGTTACAGCAACAGGAAACACTCTTCAGGATTACCTTTTAAAAAAAAACATGATTCTGTGTGAATTATGAGCCATTTTCCTCATGGAGATTAAAAAAAAATGTCCCCACAAGATCAAAAATTACAGATATTGCTACTTCAGAAAACATTTGGTCCACACAATGTGATGAATACCAGAATCAAACACGTTGGCTTTGGTGGTTTATGAGGACTCTTCATAGGCATGTTGTAGTTTTTACTGTAAAAAAAAAAAAACTGGAGCCAGATCAGTCTCAATAATATTACATTTGCATTTATAAAATTCATAAATGCAAAGCACAATTTGTAAATTCAAAACACAATTCATCAGTTCAAAGCAAAAAGCAAAAATGCTTCCCAAATGCTCTCACATACTGTAAGCATCTTACATAAATACATGTAAAATGTTTACACAATTATGAAGCTCTTGTATTACCTTCCTCGTTTGTTTATGAATTGTGTTCAATGTATTTATGAACCAAGAAATGCTGACACTAGCATGGAGTCCTTTGAATTAGTGTGTAGTATTTTTGAAACCTTCCTGGCAGGACACGGTTCGTACACATCTTTTTTGGGAGGATATTCTGTTTAGCCAATCACTGAGTTTTTTGTCAACCAATCAAAACACTTCTTACTGAACAAACTTGAAAAGCTCCACCGTTCAATTATTATTATATTACATAAAATAAAATAAATAGTTTTAACAGTATTATTAGACATTTGTAAAATATTTATTGACACGATGATGCTTGATTTGTTTACTTATTCATCTATTTTTTTTGGAGATAATAGAAAAATATGAATACAACAGAATGACATAAAACTGTTTTTTATGTCATTTTAGCATTAGGTGTAATAAAGATATAGATATTATTTCTTAAAGTTTGTAAAAAAAGCATACAAAAATCAGATATAATAAATTATAAATAAACCAATATAAAACAAAGAAAAGCTAAAAAAAAATAGTCATATAGCTATATTACTAATAAATGAAAGCCAGTCTTAGCCATTTTTAGTTATTATTATCATTTTTTTTTTTTACAAAGAATCGGAAAAAAGATTTTAGTTATTTTCTAAAAAACAATAAACAACGAGTTTTTTTAATGTCGTGTAAACTATTTAGATGACACTTTGATTTTAGTGCACTATGAATGGAACGCAATTGTCAATATGAAGATCGCTAAAACTAAAGTTTACAAAATACATTGAAAGCAAATTACATAAGAGAGATGACTTTAATTCCTTAATTTTTTTTTATTATTCCAAGTTTAAATGTTGGAATGTTCGCAAGGAATAGGGTATAGGAGGGATAACTGGGAATAGAACACAATTAGGAACTATGCTTCTACCTGTAACTGCAGCTCTAGAGAAGTAGTTACAAACGTACAAGTTTGCGATGGAGTTTGCGAATGTTTGTTGGAACGATGGATGGGGATAAACACCAAATAAACAAACTATATTTATAACGATGGAACTTGCAACCTTAGCTGGCTAACGATGGTTTTCGGAAATGCATCCCTGGACAGGCTGTTAAAGTTGGGGGCGTTTGCTCGTGCTGGTCTGACAATAGAAAATCAGTTGTTTCTTGCGCCACCTGGTGGATATTGCGTAAAGCACAAAAGTGTTTTGTGTGTGTGTGTTTTTTTTTTTTTAAATAAAAAGGCAGCCTTTGCTGCTGCAGCACAGCGTGTGACTGCGCGTGACAAATTACAGCACTGCGCACATTCTCCGCGGCCACATCTGTACAAAGACGGTTCCCTCATTACTGTGAATGGGGAAAAGTGCTAATGTCAGTATGGCTGTCATAGCAAAGGGAAGTCCTGTCTTTTCGTCGAAATTTCAATTAAATTAAATTCAATTCATTTTTATATAGTGCTTTTTGCAATGTAGATTGTGGCAAAGCAGCTTAACATAGATGAAGTTTACTTTAGCTTAGTTCAGTTTAATAATGTAAATGTCAGTGCTGAAAGACAAAACATTGAAGAGAAACTCCAATGGTGCACCAATTGTATCTCCAACGAATTGTCAGTCATCAGTCTATAGTCTTTACATATTCTATTTAATACATTTGTTTGTTATGGCAAGCTGGACCATTTTGCAACTACTGCATATCTGTATCGATTTTGACAGGAGAAAAAAAAAAACATCACAGCAAAATCGCAGAATGTTACATGTATTGTGTCCTTTCTGTGCCATCCTCCAGTCTTTGCTCAGGTTTTTGTCTCTGTTATTCTAGTGTTTATAACCACATCCTATTGTTACCATTGAGACAATTGAAAAGGAGATTGGTGTCATGCCAATCTTTGTGCATAATAGAGCAATTTGGAAATTACGTATTTTAAATGTAATTAGTGCTTAAGCAACAACAATCATGGGACAGGTTACTTCAGATTGCCTTGCTGATTTGAAATATGTCATTAAACTGTGAGTTCAGCAAGCAGTTTTCAAGATTTCAGTATTCCCCATTCCTTAAGATAGGGCTTTAGTCTTGGATGAACTGCACAGTAGCGTAGCAAGTCCTCATACACCACCAAAACCAGTTCACAAACACGCACAGCAAACAGACTCAGTTTACTTTTTTTAATATCTGATTGACTGTCTATTTCACTTCCTGTTGGAGACTGTTGCCTTAACAATGTCAGACATGCATCCGTAATGTTGCTCTTGAGTGATCCTCTTTTTTCTCTTCTTCTCTTCCAGCTCCCAAAGAAGAGGACTTATCCAAAACAACAGGGAAGGTCTCTTTCAATGAAGTACCCATCCCCAGAAATAAACCATCATCCGATGCTTCTCTTTCTACGGCCGGCTTCATCATCATCATCCTCTGTCTGGGGCTGCAGTGGCCCTTCATCTGAAAGGCCACATATAAACACACACATACACGTGGGAGAACATCATTAAAGAAATGTCAGGGTCTTATCCCCCCAAAACACACACACACACACAAAAAGAATGCAAACTTGCAGTTGGTCATTAACAGTCTGATTTAAATCACAGTAACATCCTGACAAGCATTTTCCCTCAAACATAAACAGTAAAAATGCCTCTCTATTGCAGTAATATGCAGGTACTTATTGTTTGAAATATGTAAGAGTCGTAGAAGTTCCAGTTTAATATCCACATCAAATTAGTTTCCAATATTGTGTTGATAGAAAGTATAAATTGAATATGCATTTGCATAGAAAGTTTTAAACGCAAGCCTAGTGTCGACTTTAATGTTTCAAATCGTAATTTTTTTATAAATTAGTTTGCTCAGAAAATGATTGCATTAAAGATCATGATTTGTAATGTACTAGTGAGAAATGAATGCTGCATGATGCCTCATTCGCACTAGCGGCGACTTTGTAGCTGCCTGTGTGGCGACCTGCTGCATGTCTGTGTAGAGCCCCCTTTCCACTGCACACGCTGAGAGACACACCGGAAGTCATTCATTTCCAATGGAGAGTAGTCCAGGAGCTGCGAGGGGTTACCATCATCTCCGTATGTGGAAAATTCAGATCTGATTTGAGCTGCGGATACGTTGACATACCTGAACTCCTGCAACTAGACCATTAGCGACTGGCCGACCAGATGTGATGTATTCCAGTGTTGTCCAAGCAGGTCTGTGCGCGATGAGAAATACAATTTTTTTTTACATTTTTTGTATTTTTTATCAGAAAAAAGCATAGTCTTCTCATAAATGAGTAATAAAAACTATTATTTTTTAATGTTGTCTTTACATTCCCTCCAAAATTAGCGCTCTGAGTTTTAGTATTCATTCATTCCACCCTGGTGAATGCATGAAGGATAAAGGCTCTTGCTTTTGCACTCCTTTATTCCGAACACCACGAGAATCAGCTTCTCTCCCATGGTGCGTGACAAAATTGAAAATTCTTTGTGACAGCCACAAGGGAGCGTTTTCCAACAGTTGTGTCCAAATGTCGTGTGCAGTGGAAATGCGGCTTAGGTCTACAGCAGAGAGAATGCAGCCAGCCTCTGCAGGAGCTGAGAGAGGATCTCATATGCTTTACCGGTGCTCCTATTGGCTGTTACTCAGGAAATTCACTCTTCATTTGCATATAATTGAAATATTCACAACTTTGTCGTGTAACTCGACACCCGCACCTGGTCGCGCATCGATGGCTGTACTTCACATAGACCGAAGTTGTCGGAGGTCACTCACACTCACAAATGAACGATCGCTTGTCGATTTGCCAATGTGAGTCGCTCATAGTGTGAATGAGGCTTTTTATCATTTGCAGGGTTTTGACATTTTATTTTCACATTTTATTTAGTTTACTGGCCATTCAATAAGCAAAATATCATTTATGATCAAATTTTTCAAGTCACAGCTTTAAATTAAATAATAATTATTATATGACATAATGAATCATTTACCCAAAGAGTCGATGGTGGTTTTTACATACAAATATTGGACATTCAGCATTCATGAGAACAAGTTGAAGTGAAAGCTCAGTGCAAATTAATGAATCTAATCCCAATACAGGCAATATTTCACTTCAAGAATGAATAAAGTGTCCTTTAATAAGTAAAAAATTAGGTTTTTTATTAAAAAATATTTTAAAAAGGGAGCAAACAGAAAAGAGTCTATATTATATTTCTATATTATTTCCAGATGTTAAAAAGTTTCTGTATATATATATATATATATATATATATATATATATATATATATATATATATATATATATATATGTATATATTATATATTAGGAATATATATATTAGGAATGCTCCGATTGATCAGCTGGAGATCGGTATCAGCCAATAATCACATTTCATGACTTTTTCAGTACTCGCCAATCTGACCAATCTTATGAACTGATTGCAAGTGCATAAGCGATCTCTGCGCTCCCAACATAGCAGCTGTCCAGAGCTGCGATCATTCTGCTGCTATTAATATTTGGAGATGAGCAAAATATTTGAATGGCCTTGCAAATGCACTTTTATTGAGGCCTTTTTACATATTAGAACAGATTTTTTATTTTTTATATAACTATTGCAATTTCACTCTAACCTGGCTCTAAATATATAAGGTAAATAAAAATAGTAAACCTTTTTTTTTTTTACTTTCATACATTTAATACTATAACTTGTTGTAATAAACATCAGTTTACAGGCCTATTTTGTTTTAGGAAAGAAGAACTAATGGATTTATACGTGTGCATTTTAACCTATGCATCAAATATGCGCTCCAAACTTTTTCTTCGCTGATACATGTTGAATTCTTCTTCCGACATTTGTAATGTTTCCAAAAATTCTACTTTATCTATATTTTTTTTAAAGGTGCTTTAACTATTATACTGAAAAGTTATAAGAGACATGTTTAAGGGATATATTCAACATCCTTATTATAGAGAGATCTCCACCTTATCATACTTGAAGGGAAAATGTGCTTTATGCAATAAGTTATATAAAGCTTGAAGCATCAGAATTGGTTCTTGTTAATGGCCGATCACCATGACAAGGAATCAGAACTCGGCATCTGCTGCAAAAATACTGATCGGAGCATCCCTAATATATATATATATATATATATATATATAATATTTAGGTTACTGGCCATTTAATGTGCAAAATATCATAAATGGTTACATTTTCAAGTCACAGCTTAAGTTTAAATATTTATTATTATATGGGATTCTGAAACATTTACTCAAAAATGCCGATGGCGATTTTACATGCAGCATTTATGAGGACAGGTTAAAGTGGAAGCCCAATGCAGCAATGCAAAACAAATAATTTAACCCCGAATACAGGCAAAATTTCACTTCAAGAATGAATCGAGTGTCATTAATGGCTTAGAATTAAAGTGTTTTATTAATAATGATAAAAAAAGACCAAACAGAAAGAAAAAAAGACAGTCTTTATTATATTTCTATATTATTTCTAGATGTTAAAAAGTTTTTTTTATTTAAATAGTTGGGCTTTGACAACAATCACATTAAATGTGAATGCAAAACAAAAACAGTAAAATCAATAAACCTTTATTTTCTGCAGTTAATTATGACAATACTGTTTATTAAAAAAGGAGAAAAAAATCAAGCATTTTGTTTTAATGCAAAATATAAAGCCATATTTCGTTCATTTGATTATGTGGTGATATATGACCCTGGCATTTCCTAGCAGTTCCCCACACTGTATACCTAAAAAAAAGCCACATGTTCCCAGCCTTATGTGACAGACTCATTTCTGCCGCAGAGACCGGCAGAGCTGTCTAGTGTTCAAGACGAGTGTTAACACTCTCCGCAGACTTAAAATATCAGGACGAAACCGTTATCATCACCGACTGGGACAGTGGAATGCATGACGAAATGTGTGCATCTGTGGAAACATGACCACACAACAAAAAAATGAAAACAGAAACTCTCCGCACAATCAGCAAGGGACTTTACTACATTACCACACACATAGATGGAGCATTATTGAATGAAACTTTGAATGATATGCACATTGTAGTATGTATATAGTTTGAACTGGCGCTGAGTTCAATTGGACGATGAATGTTTAATTAAAGTATCACACACTTTTATATATATATATAAACAAATATATATTTAATCAGCTCTAACAGAAACTTACACAAATTCATGAATATAAATACATAACTCTTACAAAGTATTGGAAATGTTAAAGGGATTTGCTGTTACCTGTTTGCACGACTTTCATGGATTTAAAGGGCTCAAAATATTCCTTTAAACTGTATTTTTTATTATGTATACACTGTAAAACCCAAAAATTAAGGAAACTCAAACCATTTGAGGAAACAGATTGCAACAAACAATTTAGATTCAAAAACTAATCGCACTTGGAAGTTAATCTATTCGAGTAAACAAAGCAATTTGAGCGCATTAAAACCCAATAAATGAAGAGAACTCAAACCAACTGAGTACTGTAAAACCCAATAAGTTAAGACAACTCAAACCATTTGAGGAAACCGATTGCTACAAACCATTTGAGTTGAAAAAAACTAATCTATATGAGTGCTGTGAACTTGCTCCGTTTAAGCTAAAGTAATGAGGTATTTAATTAACTCATTAGCCTTCATCACTGAGTTCAAAACTCTTTTCATTATGAACTTTTTGTAAATTTTGAGTTAATACACTCATTTCATTTGATAAAGTTGACTATTGGGTTTCACAGTGTACATATTTGCCATCACAGTGCATTGCCTTTCTAAGAAAACACATTTGAAGTCAGAATTATTAGCCCCCCTGTGTACTCTTCCCCAACTTCTGTTTCATAGAGAAATTTTCTTCAACACATTTCTAAAGGTGATCATTTTAATAACTTATTTCTAATACCTGATTTCTTTTATGTTTGCCATGATGACAGTACACAATTTTTTAGCTATTTTTAACACTTGAACTGCCGGAAGTTGCTGTATACCTAAAATCGCCAGTGCAGGTTAATTTTACCTAGCAAAATTGTATTTAGAAATTGCAAAAAAAAAAAAAAAAAAAAAAAAAAAAAAAAAAAAAATATATATATATATATATATATATATATATATATATATATATATATATATATATATATATATATATATATAATTTCATATTTCAAAACAGCATTTCCTTTTTTTTTTTTTTTTTGGCCACAAAAAGTGTCGAGACTCATGAAATTGTTATTTTAGGAAAACAAGATTATTTTAGGAGTATTTTATGAGTAGGTTAAAATAGCTAAATTTGAGCATCATACTCTGATGCATAACTTATTTCTTCAGACTCTCTATCATTCATTGCATTTTGTGTTTTTAAAAGCTCAACAAATTGCCTTCTTTTAGTCATTGTGAATTTATTAGTTTATTAAAACCACAAATTCAGTGAATGAAATTAAAAGTAAAAGTCATTGGTGAGTAATTTCAAACATAAGCAGTACATAAATACAAGCATTTTTACAGTGGGTAAATTTGACCCAATCTGGCGCTTACAGTATAGGTATAAGTGTTCCACTTTTTATCTGTTTTTATCTAAACAATTTTTAATATCTTGAAATTGTAAATAAGGCAATTTTAGTAAAAGTCAATGACTGGGGGGCTTGAATGTTTTATTGAAGGTCTGTTATGTACATTTCAATAGCAGTGATGGGTAAAATTGACCCTATGGCAGTTCTAGTGTTAAAACACTAGTATTCAGCTTAAAGTAACATTTAAAGGCTGAACTAGGCTTATTAGGTAAGTTAGGGTATACAAATCATTGTATAACAATGGTTTGTTCTGTAGAGAATCAAACTATAAACATATTGCTAATAATATTGACCTTAAAATAACTTAAAAAATAAAAACAGCTTTTATTCTAGCCGAAATAAAACAAACAAGACTTTCTCTAGAAGAAAAAATATTCTAGGAAATACTGTGAAAAATGTATTGCTCTGTTAAACATAATTTGGGTAATATTTTCAAATGAAAAAGGGCTAATAATTTTGACTTCAACTATATCTTAATGATAAAGATTTGTTGAGATATAAAAAGTGTTGCAATATCAGTTTCATTATCTGATAGGATTTAATATTTAAAATTGCACTAAAATTGCTTTATTCTGATTAAAAAAAGTATTTTCCCGCCAAAAGTGTGATGCAAGTTTGCGTGAATGTTTTGTCATGTTTAATGAAAAAAGTAAAAATGAAAAAAAAGGCTGTGAAAAGCTCCACAGATATGCAGAATGCCTTTCTTTTATAATGAACTTAAAAGCTAAGCAATGCAAGAGTTAGAGATACCAAATATTTTCTACAATAGCTTCTTTAGCAACGTAAAAAAAAAAAAAAACATTTCTATTTCCTATTGTATGTTAACATTTAAAAGTCAGTATTAAAACATTGCTCTAGTTCTTACACAGAAGGTCTAAAGAGTCTGTAAACCGTGTTGTATTATTTGTTTCGCTGTTTCTGATTGCACATGATTTTCTCTATTTGATTTCTGTCATATGATGGTTTTATAATGTTTTTTTTTTTAATGGAAGTTCATGAGTCTTCATATATTCTTGAACACTTGCAAATCAACAATTCAGCAACCAACAACACAGATGCGTACACAGGGTGCGAATTACTATCAGGACATTGTTAATAGTTGATAACCTGTAATGGGTATTTTAAAGAGCCATACAGCTTGTAAAAATGGATGTTGCTGGTACTAATGAATGTATATAGGTTGGTTCAGTGATGTTAAATAATATTTAAATAAAAACCAGATCACCTTAACTATTTTAAGTTACCACTTTTTTTAGGCGCTTGGTCCAAAACACCCACTTTTAATGTTATTACTCGATTGAATGGGCATTATAAGTGGTTATCAGTTCATAGATATGGGACCTATCAGGGGCCTTATGTGCCTACTAGTAGTCTTAGAAGGCTTTTATCATCTATTCACATGGTTAATTAGCTATACTAATAGAGAAGACTCCAGATCTGTTTTCACATTACTGTGGTGTTGGGTTTAGGGTTGGGGTGGGAGTAGGGAAATTTAGAAATAATATAAATACTTCTCATTCACCATATGTGATCTATAGCTGATTAACCATGTGGATGGATGAAAACAGCCTTCTGAGGCACAAAAAAAACCCCATACTGTCCCATATCTATCAGCTGAAAACCACTGATAACGCCCATTCAAT